GAACCAGTACTCTTGGTACTAAAATTACAAACAAGCTGACAAAAGTTAGTTGGATCCTCCTTCACTTTGTCTCTAGTTCATCTAAATCCAGCATTGATTCTACATCATTCTCATTTGCCAAAACTTTAAGTTGTGTCATTAATTTTATATTCATTTTGGTAATCTAGTGAACCATATGTCACTGAGGATGAATTGAAGTTGATGCTGCGTGGGGCGGAGTTAAGTGGCGCAATTGAGGAGGAAGAGCAGGTGAGTTCATGTGTTTTCTGGGTTTCTGGTTTTTATGCTTGAACCTCAACTGTTACCAAATATGAACCACAGAAGCACATGCATATTCAGTGATACATAAGCTTGTCTAGTTCACATAGAATTGGTTGTCCATTAGAATAGCCTTCACATATGTGGCCATTGTACCAAATGCAGCATCTTGAGATGTGTTTATCATGTCCATTTGAACGAGCACTATTTTAGCACTCTCTGTATTTTGTTCTTATCTTGCATGTTATTATTGGAGATCCATGGTTACATAGTTGGAAGTCGATGGAGCCAGTCTTATCAAAGGCGAAAAATGCAAAAAAAACTAAAGTCTGTTGGTGCTTTAAGCGCAAATAAAGTGTGGACCTTGAAGAAGAAAGACGTGCATGGAGAAAAAATACAAATATGTATGCATAGTCCAAGACTAATAATTATAAGCATGAATAACTTATATAAGAACAAAGAAATTGAAAAATGTTTACAATGAAGTGAAATATCACTTGTGTAGTATCGCCTCTTCAGGATTACACGAATTGGCAAGGAAAAGTGCCTTAGATCCTTGATGTCGAGACTGAAGCACAGTAAAGCGTGGCTGACTGCACTTTAAGTGTGCTTTGACAACACTGAATGGAGCAACATACAAGTGTATTATTTTACTCTCTTTAAAAGACTACAAAATATATGACCTAAACTTTAATGAGAGAGTTGTTATGCTAATGACTTTTTCTTGGGAAGAACTGTCAAACAAACATAACATCCAAAACTTGAAAAAATAATTGACCGAAATTTTTTTCACCTTGTTTCTTCTATGCACCACCTTAGTCATATGCCCTCCAATGTTACATCTGCTGTATAATTGGTGTAGAAGCCAGTGCTTTGTGTCTTGGCTCGTCTTCTCTGGAAGAGGAGGGCATTGTTCGATTTTGCCTTGACGGGCATCTTCAGCCTACCACATTGTTTCCCTTGGCCAAAAAAATGATTTTGTGGTTTAAAACACAGCTGCCACCTTTTTATTGGGAATTTGGCATCCCATCTTTTATGGATTTTTTTGGAGCTTAAAAACAGTTGGATTTTAAGCAGTTTTGGTTTAAAATAAGCCAAAAATGCTTAAAAGTTGATTTGACCTGCTTTGAACATATTTCTCTGATTTTTGTTTTTAATTTGTTGATTTCCATGCGCATAAGTAGGTATCTTTTGTAACTTACTAATGTGTTAGTTTAGACACAACTATGGGAACACAATCTATCTCACATAAAATAATACATAGATTCCCGCATAACTTATGCAAGTATTATTATGAGGAAAACAAAAAGGAGCAACCAAATGTTGTATTAATGAATGTTGATTTTATGTGAGACTAAATCTCCTCAAATCTCAACCAAACACTATAATCTTATGCTTGCTTTTATGTGGGGATCATATCTCCTAAAATTAAACCCTGACCCATTAATGTCTCTGTCCTCTTGCAGGACATGGTTGAAAATGTGTTGTTTTGCAAGAGACATGAGTTCTGCTTAAATTTTTTTTAATTTTATTTTGGTTTGGTAATGACAGTGACATGAGTTGTGCTTAAATGGAGATGTGAGGATTCATATAGCCAATCCCAATTTGTTTGGGACTGGGGCAGAGTAATTGATATATATCTCCTAAAACTTAAACCAGATGAACCTTCTATGCCTCTGTTTTCTTGCAGGATATGATTGAAAATGTGTTGGAGATTAAAGATACTCATGTCAGGGAGGTAATGACACCTCTTGTTGATGTTGTTGCAATCGATGCCAGTGCAACGTTAGTTGATTTCCATAGTTTGTGGGTGACACATCAGTACTCCAGGTCTAATAGACTTTTCATTGCTTTTTTTTTGCATAGAGAAGAAGTTTCCTTCAATAGGTGCTAAAAGAGTTTGGCTATGAATTTTCAGGGTGCCCGTTTTTGAGCAACGTATAGATAATATTGTTGGCATTGCATATGCCATGGATCTCCTAGATTATGTACAAAAGGTCTAGCATCTACAACTTCAACCAGCCTCTTTCAAATTGTAGTGGTGTCATTTCTAATTGTACACATAAATCTCATAGTATGCTGAAAATTCTCTTTGATTTTGAAGGGAGAACTGCTGGAAAGTTCTGTTGTGGGAGATATGGCACATAAACCTGCATACTTTGTTCCTGGTAGTTTACATTTCTTCCTGATGTTGACTGCTGTATAAATAAGAAATCATAGTTCTATGTCACCTAAACCATGGATCTGCAAAGTCAATAATTTAAATTACTGATTTAAGTTGCTGATCAGTAGGTATTGTAAGTACAGCTTCATAGCCTTATCAGAGACGTCCTGTACTGTCTACCATAACTAAATCAACAAACAGATATACATACTTTTTAGTATAATTAACAATACCGAAGACACTTTGCTGAAGGTAGTGCTGCCTTTCAGATCCTCACACTGTTGAGATGTGAATTGTTCCTATTGAACCAGCTGCTATCAGCGTGAATCATTCCTATTTCCTAGAATGCGTCTCCCTTAAAACATTTCATGCTTTATGCTTATAAGTTGCATACACATTGCTCGTGTTTTCTTTCCACACACAATATATTTCCCAAGGAGGCAAACAAAATAATCTTGTAACAATGCAGATTCTATGTCAGTGTGGAACCTTCTTAGAGAGTTCCGCATCAGAAAGGTACACATGGCTGTTGTTCTTAATGAGTATGGAGGAACCATTGGAGTAAGTATTCTCTCTCATCGTTTCTGTTTCTTGGTTGTAGCGCTTTGTTAATTCTATCAAAATTTCTTATCCACTGTGTATCTATCATTAATTATCTATAACAATGTCTTCACATTATCTCTCCTATGAAACAGATTGTAACCCTTGAAGATGTGGTCGAGGAAATTGTTGGTGAAATCTTTGATGAAAATGATTCAAAAGTAAGACTTATGACCACTTCTTTGAACAGCTAGTTATTTGTAGGTTCATAGTTATCTCTGATGGATACCTTCTTCAGTGATAGAATACATAGATATTTAGTATGTGGAAGTATATTTGTTTATATATATTTTCTTGTTGCGTGACAGGAGGAAATCCAGAAAAAAACTGGCTATATTGTCATGCGGGCTGAGGGAATATACGATGTTGATGCAAATACCTCCATTGACCAGCTCTCTGAAGATCTCAATATTAAAATGCCAGAGGTGTGCTATTCTTCTGAGATTTAAATTTTCTGTCTTTGAACTACATTTTACTGCTAGTTTAACCATACAAGGTAGCCACTCGTAGTCCCTAATTTGTCAGGAGTAGCTTGTGCGGGTCCTTCTGTTCATTTCATGGTTCAAGAAAACATAGATGAGGCTTTGGAGCTCTTGAATTTTCATTTTTCCCTTTTCGAGCAGAGACGTGAAAATAACTTAAAACATTTCCTAGCTGTCAAGCCTCTCGTTCTACAAATTACTATTATGTTTGCTTGTGTTAACATGATTTTGGTAGGGGAAACTGCCTTCAACTAATGTTAATCATTCTAGAATCGTCCCACTAATTGACTTCTTCTCTTTATTCCGTATCAGGACCATCAATATGAGACAGTCTCTGGTTTTGTCTGCGAAGCATTTGGATATATCCCAAGGACAGGTGAGACGATTAAGCTTATACTGGAAAGGGGAAATGAAGACGAGGACAACAATTACAATGAAACAGAATCTGATCGAACAGACCACAATGAAAAGAACCAAACTTTTAAGCTTGAGGTATGTTTACTTGTTTATTGGTGAATATTATAGCTAAGAATTGACACTGAACGCGTCAACTACCTTCTAAAACTGAAGCTTTCGTCGTTTTCCATGAACTTACCAGACTTAAGAACTTCACAATAAGCAGATATTTAGTTGGTAGCTGATTTTGTCAATTTTGGTGTAGATATTGGCAGGGAATGCCAGAAAGGTTAGTGCTGTTCGATTTGAACGGATCAATGACGATGTAGAAGTAGAGACAAGTGAGGTAACACGACTCGTTCCAAAAATTATGACTAGGAAGAGGAAGAGTAACGGAGGCTCGGATAGAAGCAACCACGACGAGATCTCTTTTATGGAGAGGAGAGATGAGGATGACAATTCCAACAATTTTGTTATAGCTGAACGTGAGGACAACCTTGATGTTGCAAATAAACAATAGTTGCATGAATTATTACATTTTTTTTCACTTAAATTTGAATGTAAATCACGCGTCTTAAGTTTTTTGATAGTGTTCGATTTCCAAAAATGAAATGAAAATGTTACGAAACTTATTTTTTGCTACTTTCGTCATGAAAGTCCAAATGACACTATTTGTCCTTTAACCAATTAAAAAATAATATTAAGATATTGCCCATGATTGTGACCTTTAGCCTTTAGGCAATTCAAAGATTCACCTTTTGATTACTTTGATGAGCCATCATATTGTGACCTTTACATAATACTTCAAAGAACACCAATTTAATATATTACAACTATCTTTTCATTCTAGCACAAGTACAAAAAAGAAATCAAGTATTGGCCAATAACCACAAAACATACCCAGTGAAATATGAAGCGGATAATTAAGATGTATGCAGATGTTATTCTTATCTGTGGGATAAGGTGGTTATTTTCGATAGATCCTCGCTCAAAAGATAGGAAATTGAAGCATGCTTGTATGAAAAAAATATATGATACATACAAAGCAACTAAAATGAGAAACCAAGACAAGAATATTGGGTAGTAATTCGTACTTAACTACAAATTTCTATACATAGTTTTTACAAGTAATAAACATATTAATACAATTCCTAAGCAAAATTAAGAATCTTTACATGGACTAGAAATAATTTTTGCAGCATAGTGTATAGGCAAAGATATAGCTGCAATTCCTATACAAATGGACCATTGTTTAATTCCTAATTTTTTCCAATGATCAATTTTTGACATAATCTGAAATAGTATAACTTGTAAAACAATAATAATCCCTATAATTACACAACTAACTATAAACAATAACCATTTTCTCCCTTTGGAGATTCTTGTCTTTGTGATCATCTCAATGGCACTAATGATCAATAAAAAAACTTGGCATAGTACATAAATATTGAAGGTCATGGTACTCAACAATGCCTCGTTGACGCGAAAAAATGATTTCCCCTTCATGGTAAGCATCAATAGAAGTGTAACTTGTAACATAGAATGAACAACTATGTTCCTTAACATGTTGTTGGTTACCATAGGTGCACCCGTGCCATAATAATTCAACGTGATTTGATCAACTGAATTAGATTCCCGAGGCTTTATGGTTGATGTTATGATGGACAAAAAAAGGGCACCAAAAACTTCTATAAGTAGATTTACCCACAACAATTGAAATGGTGTCAATTGTTGATCTTGATCACTTGTGGGGTTGAAAAATAAAAGAATAAAGTTTGAAGTGAAGGCAGAAATATTGAGTATCAATTGCAATTGTATGAACTTCTCAAGACTTATGCATATATACCTACAATAACAAAAAATACATCTTAGTCCTAAATAAGTCGGGTTAGAAATCAAGAAGACGTAAAAAAAATTTCAATATTAACATGACTAAAATATAGTCTCAACTAATTGATATCGCATAGGCATACTTACTTGGCCAAGATTAATATGGCTAGGATCTTACCAAAGTTCGAGTCAACGATAGTAATATCAGCATCTTCTTTAGCTAAGTCCGCACAATTTTCCCCAAAAAAAATTCCAACATCAGCTTCTTTTAGAGATGGTAAATCTCTAATAGACGAACCGGTTGCCGCCACGTGTCCACCTCTCTTTTTCAAGCAATTAACCAATAGTAATTTATCAGCTGGAGAACAATTGGCCATTACTTTAATTTTGTGACACATATTAATTTGAGCTTCTTTTGGACTTTTTCTAAATTCAATAGCTTCAATTATAGATCCTTGTAAATCTTCTTCAATTCTTAATATTCCAGAATTAATAGCCATTAATCTTGATGTATTCAAGTCATCATCCACCATTAACTTGATCTCAATTCCAGATTTTCGACACACTTCAATCGTTTGTCTCAACTCAGATGAATACGGATTCTTTAATACCACAATCCCTAGAAAACTCAAGCCATCTTTCGAGATAATTGTACCATTTTCCTTCTCTTCTTCTAGTGATGATCTTATAACTTGTTTATAAGCGAAACCATAGCAATGAACTCCATTAGATACTATAATACTCGCGATTTTTCGATTGAACAACTCTTTTTTTTCTTCATCTAGGGTTTGCATGGTACCATTATTAATATCATAATAGTTAGAACACATGGATAACACTAACTTTGGTTCTCCTTTCCAATGTACATGCAAAAACTCTCCAATTTCTTCTTTGTTTCTTTTTAATAACACCCCACATAATCCTTTGTTGGGATAATAATTTTCACGGTTTAAAATGCTACAATTTCCATGAAATTGTTCAATATTTTCACCAAACAATTTCTCAGCCCAAATAAGAAGTGCATCCTCATCAACATGACCAATTATATTCATAAAAATTCCTTCAAGTAATGTATTCCGGACTTCCTCAGTAAAATCTGCATGCAGTGACATAGTCAGAAATTTTATTAACAGAAATTCAAAAAAGTTATACCTAGTAAGTTGGCAAAGCCAAAAAAAGTTCAAAAATAAAGATATATAGATTAAGGAGATTCGATTGAATCCTTTTTCTTACCTCTAGCTCCGCCACTGAATACAGATAAGTCATTGATTTTCTCGAAGCCAATCCATAAATCCACCAAAGTTGAATGATTCACAACAAAATGAGATGTTTTACTAAGGCACAAAGTGGTAACAAGAGCTCCATTAGCACAAGATGGAAGATTATGAACTATGATTTGATCATTCTTTTTCACATCTTTAGATGCATATAAAAGAACAATAAACATCCCTAAAGATAATCCATCTTTTAATGAAAACACCAAAATACAAACCATAGCTACAAAGCCATTAACCTTATTGGTACCATAATTTTCACCTCTCTTCCTCCTCATGTATTTCGTGGCCTCGTTCATTATCTCCTCCATCGTGTTCTTCACACCTTTAGGATCGCGATTTTTATCACAACACCATGACTTGTTCCACAAGAAACATCGAAAAACTTCAACTACAAGAATGATCAAAGAGAGACTCAAGGATAATTTATCCAAGAATGAGCTCATTTCATCAATCGATTTTTGAATCTTTGAGTAACACTCATGACCATTATTTTGGAAACTTGTTACACACTTCATCAACTTGATTCTCTCTTTATTTTCACCAACTGCAGTTACTAGTAACTGACAACTTCCTTCCACTAATTTTGTATGATTAAACAAGACATGATGCAACTGTTCACGTGGTAGTACTAAATCATGATGACTAGTACTACCATCATCGAACTTGTACGAGTTACCTTGAATTAAAATTCCATCAGCTGGGACATGATCACCACATTCCAACAACACAATATCACCAACCACTACTTCAGAAGATGGAATTTGTACAAGTTGTTGGTGTCTAAGAACCCTAATTACCTTCTTTTTACGCGATAATCTCCTCTTCGATATCCATCTTGCCTTGAAAAACCTATAATCAAACGCGACAAAATTAGCCTATGAAATCATAACTCGATCAAATCCACTCAAGTTTTAGCTGATTATTGACCCGCTCATTTACTAGCCTAAAATATTTTTTTCTATTTGATATGTTATTTTATAAGGTATTGATAAAAATATATATATAAAAAGGACAAATAAAGCAATGATTGAGTTATGACTCGCATTTTAGCTCATTTCAGCTCAAGTAACTTTTGGACTGGTGATTCATTAACCCATATTCAGCTCAACTCGTTCATTTGTCACCTATATACCTGAAAGTAATGCTGAAGTTTAAAACGAAAAAAATTGGCAAGAAGATTATAACAGAATCAAACAACGCTTCTTGCAGTCCGTTCCTCTTGATCCCAATCACAAGAGAAAGCGCGACACAACAAAATAGAAGGATAAAAGTGCTTTCTTTGAATGCTTCAAGTGTTAATTCACGAAAACTTTTTTTCTTGACATAAGAAGAAGAAAAGTTGTTGTTTGAACCAAATGATTTTCGACGACAATAGAGATCGTTAGAATCTCCTAATATGCCAGAAGAATTATTGGTTTCAAGTGCATGAAATAGTTGTTGAAGGGTAAAAGATTGAGGATTTGATAATTCTTCTATACTAATTGAGAAGTAATTAGAGTTTATGGTGTTCTCATGAGTCATTGATCATGTGTGTGTAACAATTAATCTTGTATAATTTGTGTTATTTAAAGAGTTTGGTTAGGTGTTTGTGAAAGAGATGGAGGAATAAAGAAAAAGGTGTTTAGCTTTACACATCTCAATTAAGTAAGTTATAAGAGTATTTAAATTATATGTGTAGTGGGACAATATAATTTTTTTGAGAATTATATTGCTTATTAGGTAATTATAGGAAAGTTTCTTTGATAGTAAGTAGCATGATGTGATAGGTAAATATTGTTTAGACATAATATAGTTAAAAGTAATTAAAAATATGCTCTCTTTAATATATAGTTTAAAGTTTCAAGTGAGATTGTCACAGATTTCAACATGTAATTAACTAAAGCAGATGGAAGTCCCGCGAGTTCAAATTTCACCGCGCAATCCAAGAAAGCAAAAGATACTTTCCTGTGAAGAATCGAACCTACACAAGAAAGAGTGTTGAGACATAATATAATTAAGTAGTTAAAAGTTATATATATACTTTCCTTTTAACAGTTCAAACTTACAGAGCAGACTAAAGTTCAAATCTCATTGTCATATTTTTGCAAGTTTGACTAATGAAAAAGAATCAGATTCACGCATATAATAACATGTTCAAACATATATAATATGTATATATAAGTAATTAAAATTTTATTCTTTTTAACGGCTTAAATTTTAATACTCTAAAAGACTAAGAAGTTTACTAGAAAATGAAGTTTGAGGAAAAGTAGAATTTCTGTGAGCTTTCTCCAAAGACCAATGCTTACTAAGAATTAAAAAAGTGAAGTGAGGCATCAACATATACTTAATATAATTATTTCAAAACGACCAAGACAAATCCAGTTCAACTAATGTTGAAGAAAAAAAAAAGATTGAAAAATATCTCCATTTTAATTGAAAGGTCTTTATCAAATCCTACTCACTCTTTTTTTCTTTTTTGGGGGGGTGGGGGGTGGGGGTTCCTTTCCATGTTAGCACAATTGACACGAAAGGCGGCTGATGAGGACAGATCAAACAAGATTGGTAAGTTTCTGAAGAAGGGATGCGATATGCTAGGTAAATTTCATGTTAAAATAGAAAATAAAAAGTGAAGAGTATATGCACATGTTCACATTCGTCGTTCATAACTCTCATCCCCACCACCTCGCGGTTCTCCTACTCCCCCATCCCATCCACCTTCTTAATATTTGTAAATATAGTATTTCTTTTAAAATTATATATCGAGCATAAAAAAATAAATAAGAAATCCATTTATTTTTCTAAAAAATATTTTTCATTTCCTTCCAAAAAAAAAAAAAACATTGACAACGATATAAGCCTATGCTGCCGGTGATAACGACATTAATAACTCTTTTTTTTTCAATTTGCACAATACTTCTACATAGCAGAATTAATCTAAATAGTTGTCTAGTCGACTTAATAAACTAAAATAATCGAGAAATATATAATATATGTATAATTCATATAATATAGTGTGTGTATATATATATATAACAAGTGTATAATCTATGTTTACAATAAAAAAATAAAATATGTCCGACTATTTGTATAAAGATTCTAGATTCCTTGTATTCTAGAATTACTTTTTTGATACTAAATTAGAATATGGTGGACTCCTTCCTTGGCCTGGGGAAAATCTGGACATAAGATATTCTAACAAGATTTTCCAACATGTAGGTCCAATTCAATTTCTGGTTAAATTTTCTAATTTTCAAATACATTAATAATTTCCAAGAAACTTACATATAATAAAACAACAATTTTAAAGTTAGAAATTTGGGATTAAGTTAAAAAATACAGGGTCCACGTACACCCCAACTATGCATGAATTTTTTTAAGGGAATCTATGCGGATAAGTAAACATATACTAGTTAATTAGCTAACATAGCTATAGTTTGAATTACTTACGAGACAACTTAATTTTAGCTGTAATTACGCCACTTATACATATACATATACAAATTATGCATATATATATATATACACGATTCAGATACAATTAGCATATTTCCACTCTCTGCCCTCTCTCGCTCGCCTCTCTCGCTCGCCTCTCTCCTCCCTCTCCCAATCTCGCTCGCCTCTCTCCTCCCTCTCCAATCTCGCTTGCCATATATACAAATACATATGTATATTAGTTACATATATACAATTATCTCACAGATATACATATACAATTCGTCTCTCTCCACTCTCTGCCCTCTCTCCTCCCTCTCTCTCCCAATCTCACTCGTCTCTCTCCTCCCTCTCCCAATCTCGCTCGTTAGATATACAAATACATATGTATATTAGTTACATATATACAATTGTTTGACATATATACATATACAATTTAACAAATATACATATACAATTCGCCTCTCTACCCTCTCTCGCTCGCCTTTCTCCTCCATCTAACCTGTAGTTATGAATCGTAATTAACTAACTATAGCTATAGAGCATAATTAAATTATTTTTGAGTGGTTGTATGCGAAATTTCCACTTTCTTTTCATAATATTTCTTGTCTTTTCAGTGTTTGAACACCTGGTCAACTTTTGTTGATTAATTAAGTTACAGAATCTAGTCAATAAAGTGTAATTATAAAGAAATTAGTCGATTCAATATATAATTAGTTAATGTAACGTACTGATCATAAGACCACACATCATGAATGCTAAACAAATAGACTATTTAATTTATAACATATTTAATGTAATTTTATGGGTCTCTGAAGGATATCATACATATACGTAAAACCTTATTCCTTTCTCGTGAGAGACAGAAAAATTGTTTCTAATATATCAAAGCAATTAAAAAATAAAAATATAAAATACAGAAATAATAAAGTAGACATACTGAAAAATAGAAAAATCATTACATAGTATTCATAGAGAAAAAAACATTAATTAAAAATAGTTCATAAGTTGAATGGTGGAAATTTCGTGTCATGCATGTGCTTATGTCTGTTGACCTCAACAAATTTAATTAAAATTATATTACAAACTAAAAGACAAGGAAGGATATATAATTAATAATTATAAAGCATGCGTGTTAATGTCACAAGAGGAAAATGTGTGTAGACAAACCATATATTATATTATTATGGAAATTGTCTTAGCTAGTCATTAACTAGTCATGTATGGTCTCAAGTATAGCTAGCAAACATTATCATGTGGCGTCAAATGACGGTCATATCGTTTTGTTTTTTTTGGCCTAGGTAGTGGAGTGTCGTGTTTTGTTTTTCGCAAATTCAAATTTATTGATGTTTTATTATAATATTAGTTGAGTAATTTTCCTGGATAGTCACTCATGTTTGGAAATTATCTAAGAATATCATTTATGTTTGTTTTAGGACCACAATATCACCTAACCTTACCTCTTTTCCTCAAAATATACTTGACACAAAAAAAATATTATCTCTCTCCTAATAGGATGCCATGTCACATTATTCCTTTTTATTATTAACATTTTTTTAATTCCTTTTTTATTATTAACATTTTTTTAATTCCTTTTTTATTATTAACATTTTTTTAATTCCTTTTTTATTATTAACATTTTTTTAATTCCTTTTTTATTATTAACATTTTTTTAAATTTCTTTAAAGACATTATATCCTTTGTAGTTTGACAATATGGTTACCTTATTACTCTAATGAATTAAAATATCAACAAAAAGGGGAGTCCGAAGATAAAAGGGTCATTTTTTTCCTTCAAAAAACAAAAAGGGCACATAAAAAAAAAAATTGACAGCGATTTTCTCAAAAAAAAATCATAATTTCTTTAAAATCGTTGCTATAGCAGTGTTTTTATAAAAAAAATTAAAAGTAAAATCGCTGCTATAGCAGCGATTTTTTGTTAAGGAATTAAAAAAAACATAAAGAACAAGTTTTAAATTACATAAATTTCCGGCAGCAGCCATTTAAAAAAAAAACAAGTTTTTTAAAGAAAAAATCGTTGCCGAAGTAGCGATTTTCAGTTTTAATTTTCATTTAAATCGCTGAAAGGGTAAAGATTTTAAAAAAAAAAGCTTTTTATGAAAATCGCTGGCTTCAATTTTATTTATTTTTTATTAAATTCTCTGCAAGGGTAGGATAAAAAGCTTTTTATGAAAATCGCTGGCTGGCCTCAGTTTTAATTTTTATTAAATTCTCTGCAAGGGTAGGATT